AGGCCTTGGAGGGCGAATAGGGGAGCAGGGTCAGGCCCTGGTTGATGGCGAGGGGATCTGGGCCAGGCCCTGGAGGGAGTGGAGGGGAGCGGGGTCAGGCCCTGGAGGGCATGGAGGGGAACTGGGTCAGGCCATGCAGGGCAGCGAGTGGAGCTGGAACGGGTCAGGACTTGGAGGGCATAGAGTTGAGCAGAGCCAGGCCCTGGAGGGCGAGGAGGGAAATGGGGCACAGGCCCTGGAGGATGAGGATGGGGGCGGGGCCCATGTCCTGGAGGGCAGTGATGGCAGTGCCTGAAGGGAGTGGGGCCTGACCCTGGAAGGCAAGGAATGGAGGGGGGCCTAGCCCAGGGTGGTAAGGAGGGCTGCAGGGCCTGGTCCTGGGGGGCGAAGAGGGGAGCAGGGCTGGGCCCTGGAGCCTGAGTAGCAGAGTGAGGCCTGACCATGGTGGGCATCAAGGGGAGCAGTCCCAGGCCCTGGAGGGTGAGGAGGGAAGCAGGGTCTGGCCCTGGTGGGGGGCAAAATGAGCAGGGCCAGGCACTGGATGACTAGGAGGGGAGCAGGGACCAGCCCTGGTGGGCTGCAAGGGGAGTGGGGCCTGGCCCTGGAGGGTGAGGTGGGGAACGGCCTATGCCCTGAAGGGCAGTGTCGCCCTTCCTGAGGTGAGTGTGGCCAAGCCCAGGAGGGCAAGGAGGGAGTCGGGCCTGGCCCTGGAGGGTGAGGAGGGGAGCAGGGACTGGCCCTTTAGGGTGAGGAGGGGAGAGGCCCTGGCTCTGGAGGGCAAGGTGGGGACCAGGGTCTTGCACTGGAGGGTGGCAGGGGAGAAGGGCCTGGCCCTTTTTGGCCGGAGTGGGGCCTGGCCCTGGAGGGCGAGGAGGGCAGTGGGGCTCAGGCCCTGGAGAGTAAGGAGGGAATGGGGCCCAGGCCCTGCAGGGCATAGAGGTGAGCAGGGTCAGGCCCTGGAGGGTGAGGAGGGAATGGGGCACAGGCCCTGGAGGGCGAGGACGGGACTAGGACCTATGCTCTAGAGGGCAGTGATGGTCGTGCCTGAGGGGAGTGGGGCCTGACCCTGGAGGGTGAGGAGGGTAGGGGGGCCTAGCCCGGATGGTAAGGAGGGGTGCTGTGCCTGGCCCTGGAGGGCAAGGAAGGCAGCAGGAAAGGCCCAGGAGGGCGAGGAGGGAAGCAGGGTCAGGCCCTGGAAGGCAGTGAGGTGAGCAGGGCCCATGTCCAGGAGGGTAGTGATGGCCAAGACTGAGGGGAATGGGGCCTTACCCTAGAGGGCATGGAGTAATGCAGGGCAGGGCTATGGAGGGTTAAGAGGGGAGCAGGGTCCAGGCCCTAGAGGGCCAGGAGGTGAGCAGGGCTTGCCCTGGAGGGCAAGGAAGGGTGCAGAGTCCTGCACTGGAGGGAGGCTGGGGGAGCAGGGCCCAGTGGGTGGCAAGGGGAGCTGGGTCCAGCCAGCTGTGGAGTGCAGAGAGTGGAGCAGGGCCTGGCCCTGGAGGTTGAGGAGGGAAGTGGGGCCTGACCCTCCTGGGCAAGGAGAGGAGTGGGGTTCTGCCCTGGAGGGCAGCAAGATGAGCGGGCCTGGCCCTGGTGGGTGAGGAGGGGAGCAGGATCTGGCCCTGGAGGGTGGCGAGGGGAGTGGGGCAGGGCCATGGAAGGCAAGGAGGGGAGCGGGGCTAAGGCCCTTGAGGGCGATGAGGAGAGCAGGGATTGGCCCTGGAGGGTGAGGAGGGGAGCCGGTCTAGGCCCTAGAGGGTGAGTTGGGGAGCAAGGCGCAGCCCTGGAGGGCAAGGAAGGGACTGGGGTCCTGCACTGTAGGGTGGTGGGGGAGCAGGGCTCTGCCCTGGAGGCAGGCAAGAGGAGCGGGCCCGGCCTTGGAGGGCAAAGGGGGGAGCAGGGCCCATGTCCTGGATGGCAGTGATGGCCATGCCTGAGGGTAACATGGCCTGGCCCTGGAGGGTGAGGAGGGCACCAGACCCTAGGCCTTGGAGGGCAAGGAGAGAAGCATGGTCCAGCCCTGGGGAACGAGGGAGGGAGCGGGGTCACGCCCTAGAGGGTGGCAAGGGGAATGGGGCCAGTCCCTGGAAGGCAGTGAGGTGAGTGGGTCCTAGTCCATGGAGGGCATGGAGGTGAGTAGGGCCAGGCCTTGGTGGGCGAATAGGGGAGCAGGGTCAGACCCTGGTTGGTGGCGAGGATTTCTGGGTGAGGCCCTGGAAGGCAGTGAGGGGAGCGGGGTCAGGCCCTGGAGAGTGTGGACGGGAGTGGGGTCAAGCCCTGATGGGCAACGAATGGAGGGGACAGCACCATGGATGGCAAGCAGGGAAGCGGGGCCAAGCCCTGGAGGGCAAGGAGGGGAGCAGAGCCCATGCCCTGGAGGGCAGTGATGGCCATGCCAGAGGGGAGTGGGGCCTGACCCTGGAGGGCGAGGAGGGGAGGGGGGCCTAGCCTAGGATGGTAGAAGGGATGCAGGGCTGGCCCTGGAGGGCGAGGAGAGGAGCAGGGCTGGGCCCTGGCGCCTGAGTAGCAGAGCGAGGCCTGACCCTGGTGGACATCATGGGGAGTGGGTCCAGGTCCTGGAGGGCGTACATGTGAGCGGGGCCTAGCCCTGGAGGGTGAGGAAGGCAGCCGGATTGGCCCTGGCGTGCAACGAGGAAAGCAGGGTCAGACACTGGAAGGCAGTGAGGGGAGCATGGCCCATGCCCAGGACGGAAGTGAGGGCCATGAGAGGGAGTGGGGCCTTGCCCTAGAGGGCATGGAGGTATGCAGGGCAGGGCCATGGAGGGCTAGGAGGGGAGCAGGACCTGGCCCTGGTGGGTGGCAAAGGGAGCAGGGCCCAGCCAGCCATGGAGGGAGGAGAGTGGAGCAGGGCCTGGCCCTGGAGGGCAAGGAGGGAAGTGGGGCCCGGCCTTCTTGGGCAAGGAGGGGAGTGGGGTCCTGTACTTGAGGGCAATGGGGCAGCAGGGCCCTGCCCTGGAGGGCGGCAAGATGAGCGGGCCTGGCCCTGGAGGGTGAGGAGGGGAGTGGGGCCCAAGCCTTGGAGGGCAGTGATGGCCATGTCTGAAAGGGGCAGGGCCTGGCCCTGAGGGTGAGAATGGGAGCAGGGTCCAGCCTTGGAGGGCAGCATGAAGAGCGAGCCTGGACCTGGAAGGTGAAGTGGGGAGTGGGCCCATGCTCTGGAGGGCCCAATGGCCACGCCTGAGGGGAACAGGGCCTGGCCCTAGAGGGTGAGGAGGGCACAAGGCCCCAGGCCCTGGAGGGCGAGGAGGATAGGAAGGTCCGGCCCTGGAGAAAGAGGAGGGGAGTGGGGTCAGGCTTTGGAGGTGAGGAGGGGAGCAGGGCCCAGCCCTCATAAACAGGCATCGCTGCCCATCAGGACATGGACCCCACTCCCCATGTTGCCCTCTAAGGGCCAGGCCTTGCTCCTTTTGCCATCCTCCAGTGCTGGCCCCTGCTCAACCTGCCACCCTCCAGGGCCAGGCCCTGCTCCCCTCCTTGCCCTCCAGGGCGTGGGCCCGCTCACCTTGATGCCCAGCAGGGTTGCGCCTTGATCCCCTACTCACGCTTCAGGGCCCAGCCCTGCTCCCCTCTTCGCCTTCCAGGGCCAGGCCCTGCAGCCTTCCTTACCATCCTGGGCTAGGCCCCACTCCATTCCTTGCCCTTCAGGGTCAGGCCCCATTCCCCTTGGGCACTGCCATCACTGCCCTCCAGGGAATGGGCCCTGCCTGCCTCCCTCTTAGTCCATCAGGGCCTGTGCCCCATTCCCTCCTCACCCTCCAGGGCCAGGCCCTGCTCCCCTCCTCACCCTCCAGAGCCTGGCCCCGCTCCCCTCCTTGCCTTCCATGGCCCTGCCCCGCTCCACTCGCTGCCCTACAGAGCCTGACCCCGCTCCACTCCACGTCCTCCAGGGCCTTACCCTGCTCCCCTCACTGCCTTCCAGGACCTGGCCCCATTCCCCTTGCCACACTCTAGGGCCTGACCCCTCTCCCCTCCTTGCCCTCCAGGGCTGGGCCCTCCTCAACTCCTTGCCCTCCAGGGCCAGGCCCCATTCCCCTCCTCACCCTCTTGAGATTAGACCCTGCTCTCCTCCTCACCCTCCAGTGCCAGGCCCTGCTCCCCTCCTCGCCTTCCAGGGCATGGACCCTCCTCCCCTATATGCCTTCCAGGTCCAAGCCCTGTACCTCTTGCTGTCATCCAGGGCCAGGCCCTGCTCCCCCTGCCACCCTCCAGGGTCGGGCCCTGCTCCCCTCTTTCCCCTCCAGGGACAGGCCCTGCTCACCTCCTCGCCTCCAAAGCCTGGGCCCTTCTCCCCTCCTCATCCTCCGGGGCATGGCCCCATTCCCTCCTTGCCCTCCATGGTCTGGGCCCAGCTCCCTTCCATGCCCTCCAGGTCCAGGCCCAGCTCCCCTCCTTGCCTCCAGGGCTGGGCTTTGCTCACCTCCTCGCCCTGCATGGCCTTGCCCCGCTCCGCTCGCTGCCCTACTGGGCCTGACCCTGCTTTCCTCCATGCCCTCCAGGGCCTTACACTGCTCCACTCACTGCCTTCCATTTCCTTGCCTGGATCCCCTTGCCACCAACCAGGGCCTGACCCTGCTCCCCTCCTCACCCTCCAAGGCCTGGCCCTGCTCACCTCCATGCCCTCCATGGCCAGGGCCCTGATCTCCTCACTACCTTCCAGGGTCTGGCCCTGTTCCTGTTGCCCTCCAGGGCTTGACCCCGCTCCCCTCCTCGACCTCCAGGTCCAGGCCCCCCACTTCTCACTACCCTCCAAGGGCAGGCCCTGCTCCCCCTGCCACCTTCCAGGGCCTACCCTGCTCCCTTCCTCGCCCTCCAGGGATTGACCCTGATCCCCTCCTCGCCCTCCATGGCCTGGGCCCAGCTCCCTTCCATGCCCTCCAGGGCCAGGCCCCGGTGCCCTCCTCGCCATCCAGGGCCAGGCCCTGCTCCCCTCCTCACCATCCTGGACCAGTCTCCCCTCCCTTCCCTGCCCTCAGGGCCTGACCCTCTGGCTTCCTTGCCCTCCAGGGCCTGGGCCCAGCTCCCCTCCTCACCCTCTCAGGCTGGACCCTGCTCCCCTTGTTGCCTTCCAGTGCGGGACCCCACTTCCCTCCTCGCCCTCCAGGATCCGGCCCCACTCCCACACTCGCCCTCCAGGGCCTGGGCCCTTCTCCCATCCTCGCCCTCCAGGGCCTGACCCTGCTCCCCTAGCCTCCCTTCAGTGCGGGACCCCACTTCCCTCCATACCCTCCAGGGCCTGACCCTGCTCCCTCTAACATTTCTAAAACCTATAATAAAGTTGATTTCTTAACTCTGGAAAATTGAAATTGTGTTAAGTAAAATGCAGATCATGCATCGGGAGATCATGTGCATTTGGTCATAAAGTTTATAATCACTGTCTAGTTATAGTGGAGAGTGAACATGATGCATACAACTATGGTAAAGTCTGAACGCCTGAATCTAACACCGAACTGTACATGTAGTGTTAATGACCATGCTAAATTCTAACAGCATTTGAATCACTAGAAATATTGAAAAGCACCACAAATATTTATAAATCTCACATCTGTATTCACAGTAATGATGCTAAAAGTACAATGTGTAACATTTCCCAGTACGCGTTTATATGCATTTCCCTTTCACAAACACACATGAATGCACACACGTACAAATCATAGAAGCTTAGGGGTTCAGAAACAAATATTTATGGACTTTAGGCCTTCATTATAGTTTATTTTATTAACAATTGAAAATAACCAAGTTTAATACTAATTTATATGTGTTAACATTTTTGTAACTTTGAACCCACTATGCTTTCCAGCATGATTAGCAAGCCGACATCTGCTACATCTTCAAAGGGACTCTTAAAAATCAAAAGTTTACTATGGTGCTTAAAACAATCAGTACAAAGTAGGTGGTTCTGAGAATGTCTATAAATAGTGTCAATTGCTTGGCTTCCATTACATTTGATTGTTCTCCAAGCAGTGTGGGAACAGGGTATAAACTGCCCACTTTCAGTTAAAATAACTAAAATTGATTAATTGGTGTAATGCTATTTTTTTTGTGGGGGGGGATATACAATATATATTGTAAGTATGTTCTTTCAAATTAGTGAATATAAGTATGTATTTCCGCCAAGACACTCTGGTAAAAAAAAAAAAAAAAGACCTAAATGAAAGATCTCTGTGAGTGAGATCCCAGTGGAAAGAACAGGTCTTCAAAGAAGGAGGTACCTTTCTCTGAAGGGAGGAGAGAACTTCCACTTTGACTATGACCTTGTCTAAATAAAATAAGAGTCGGTGAACTCAAAAGGCTTCCATAGCCTTGGAAACTCATGACTGGAGCCTAGGGAGATTACTGATGCCATAGACAGGAGTGTCAATTTGTAAAGTCAACAACAGGAGTCACTGTGCACTTACTCCTCATGTAGGATCTCTGTCCTTAATGTGCTGTACATAGAGACTTAATGCTATAACGAGTACTCAAACAGTATTTTTCACTTTGTATTTCTATGTGGGTGCAAACTGTTGAAATCTTTACTTAATGTATACTAAACTGATCTTCTGTATATATAGAAAAAAAAAAAGCCTGGGAAGGGTAATCCAGAGGACACAGAAACAACGAGAAGGCGAAGCCTCGTGAGCTCAGCTGCGAAGCTGATGCGGGGCTGCCCTGCAGCACAGGTGGGCTGAGGTGGGCTCTGGGAAACCAGCCGACATGGATTTGCACGTCCCAGGATCTGTGACTACTGCCCTGTCTCAAGTGGGAAGTCCTTCAGGAGCCTGAGAGCTTAAAGAGCAGACTACACCCTCGAGAGGACTGACCCCGGGTAGAAGGACAGCACAGCAAGGCCTTGTGTGTGGCAGTGACCTCGATGGAGAAAAGAAGTCATCTTCTCTGTGAACCTGTGTTGGTGGCGTTCCCTGGGGGAGGTTCTAGAGCAGATTCCTACCAGCCAACAAAAGCTAAAAGCATGACGACACCTCTTGACCTGGCTGCAATTATCAACTTTTAAAAAAAAATACTGATGCACTGGGGTTGGAGCTGTGGCGCAGCAGCTTAAAGTCCCAGTGTGCAGCAGCAGCATCCCACATGGGCACCGGTTTGAGTCCAAGATGCTCTTTTTTTTTTTTTTTTTGACAGGCAGAGTGGACAGTGAGAGACAGAGAGAAAGGTCTTCCTTTGCTGTTGGTTCACCCTCCAATGGCCACCGCGGCCAGCGTGCTGCGCCCGGCGTACCGCACTGATCCAAAGCCAGGAGCCAGGTGCTTCTCCTGGTCTCCCATGTAGGTCCAGGGCCCAAGGACTTGGGCCATCCTCCACTGCACTCCCAGGCCACAGCAGAGAGCTGGCCTGGAAGAGGGGCAACTGGGACAGAATCCGGCACCCTGATCGGGACTAGAACCCGGTATGCTGGCCCCGAAAGGTGGAGGATTAGCCTAGTGAGCCGTGGCGCCGGCCCCATTGTGTGAATTCTAAACTTCTTACATTTTAGACTGAGCTCCATTTTAAGAACAAACTTTTCCTATTTTTTTTAAATGTTTTCTAATTCTTCATTGTATTAAATGTATTATTTCCAAATACTAAGGCCTTAGGCTACAGTCCTCTCTTAAAGGTTAGAGTTTACAATTAATTATTGAATCCTACAATATGTGGGCATTTATCTAAATTATTTACTTAATTTAACCATCTTCACATGAATTCTGGGTTAAAGGTCAGGAAACGAAGGAAGTAGGGTTGAATAAGCAGGTGAGTGGCAGAGGTTGTGCTCTTAACATCAGATGAATGTGGCTTCTTGGGTAACCAAGAGTCTGCTTGTGTGTCTTAGTTATCATAGCAATACTTAAGTTATCATAAAAATACTTAGTATCATAATTAAATAGAGGTATTTTCTAATTCTTCTATTTTTAATTTCAAAGATTTATTTATTTGAAAGGCAGAGCTATATAGAGAGGGAGAGAAACTAGAAAAAGGATCTTCCATCCACAGGTTTAATCCTTGAATGGCCACAATGGCCAGGGCTGAGCCAGGCTGAATTAAGAAGCCCGATCTCCATCTGGGTCTCCCACATGGCGGCAGGGACCCAAGTTCTTGGCTCTACTGCTTTCCAACAAGCTCCCTGCTAATTCTATTGGGAAAGTAGCAGAAGAATGCAGATGGAGTTCCTGGCTCTTGGCTTTGGTTGACCCAGCCTAAGACCTTTGTGGTCATTTGGGGAGTGAACCAGTGGGTGGAGGATCTCTCTCTCTGTCTCTCCTTCTCACTTTATCACTTGCTCTGCCTTTCAAATAAATAAATAATGCTTAAAAAATGGAGAATCATTCTGTTCATACTTAGACCTCAAGCCTGTGTGTTAAGAACTTACTAAATTTCATATCTAAAATTGTTTTCTAGAGAGGATTTTGTCCATCTTATTATAATATCATATGATGAGTGGTTATATACAGTTCATGTTTTGTAAGGAGAAAATTTGACACATCTCCAATTAGGTCATCAGTTGTTTGAAGGCAGATGGGAAAACCAAGGAATGTGTTGCGCATGATGGAGGTGAGAGTATTTTACTGCTTCTACTCTCCATTTGTCCCAAGACTAGCACAGCACTTGGGAAAGCAGTAACTCAGCCATGATGAATACAGTAAATCACATGATTACATATATTTGAATGAATGAGTTGGTACTAATTTTTTTCAGATCCCAAGAAGGAAATTACAAGTCTGAAGTCAACAGCAAACCCAGGAAGGAAAGGACAACATTTACCAAGAGCAAATCAAAGGACTAGGAGCAGAATTTGCCCATCACAACTATGTGACTAGACTGAGGAGATACAAGATAGCAGAGAATCTGGATCTCACCAAAAGACAGGTAAAGCTGGGCATTGCCAGGGATTGTTTTCATTGCTTTGGTTCAATAACCCTCTTGTACCATTTTTTAAATATTTGGAATCATTGTTCTTAATTATCAAAAGGAAGAAAGGTGTGCTATTTAATGATTAAGTATTTTTACCCAGCAAAATGAAAAAATCAAAAATCAGTGAGTGATTTTATGGGGGAAAAAACTCTACATTTATTGAGTTTAAAGAAGAATTCTGTGTTCTGCAATAACGTTCTTTCTGTATTCATTGGTGGTGAGGAGGTGTGTGTGAAAATATTTATTTGACATAATGATGGAATGTGGTGAGGAATTTTGTATCCTTTCAAAATCTCCTATTTGGCATGTTAGAAAGTTGACAACCCCCGAGTAGTTTCCTGTATTGGTCAGAATAGGGTATGTTATGTTGTGCTAACACATTAGCTTCCAAGCCTCAATGGCATGATACAAAAATGCTCATTTGCTCACTCTCCATACTGAGTCTCCTAAGTCCAGGCTTCCAAATAAACACTCCCAGCATGGTGGCTCTCTGGCATCTCCACTTATGATGTCATTGGGAACCGCGGAAGGTGAGCAGTCGTTGTGAGTTCATGCACTGGCCCTTGAATGCTTGCATGGGCCATGACCCGCATTAATGTTTCAGGTTCAGAAATCATCAAATGGTGCAACGTAAAGGAAATGATGGAATACAAGGGCACGTAGACCACTCATGAATATTTTTGTCCCATTACTCCAAATATTTTTGAAATTGTGCTGGTCTTGGTAATGCAAAATTCTGCTAATAACTCAGAGAACACTTTGGAATTATTAAAAATTTGCAGATCTCAAATAGTAAGACCTAAAGAGTACTATTACATTAATTTTGTATTAATTACTTCCTAGATCCCCTTCTTGAATTTTATTTGGATGACAAATGGTCTCCTCTTATGATGCTCCCAGTACACTCTTTGTAAGGGCTGTGACTTGCCCTGGGAGAATCTAGCCGATTTACGGTTACCAGTTGTTCAGCTTCAGATAAACATTCCTGAAAGTCAAATGCAAAGATCTTTATGGACAGTGCAGTTATTATTGGCACTTGGAGGGCTGGAGTCTCATTTCCTCTTTCACTGTACACACCTCCTCCGGGATCCCACTGGAACCAAGGAAATATCCACAGGGTGCAGACATATGAATGCATATCTTAGGCGAGCAAACTGTTCATCTAATTTCTTAAATCATCTTCTTTCCTCTGTTAATTTTACATCTCAACCCTGTTAGGTTACTTCTGGGTGGGGAAAATGCATAAGGAACACTTTCATGTGTTTTTATACATTGCCAGTTTGTGTTTTATTAATCATGACTAGTACCTAACTTATGGAGCATAACATTTCCTTCCCTTGAACTTCACAAAGTTCTATCTATAAGTGTACAGCTTATGGCATGCAAGAAAGCCTGTTCCAAAATCTATATCATCAGACAATAGTTTCACTATGTTTTCATTTCTAAAAAATTGTTTACTTAAAAATGTATATACTTATTTGAGAGGCAGAGAGAAAGAGAGGGGGCATTTGTTTTATTGTTTTTTAATTTCTAAAAAATTATTATTTATTTACTTATTTGAGAGCAGAGAGTGAGAGAGAGAGGGGATACAACTATTGCTTGCTCATACCCCAAGTGCACATGATGATCTTCGGCTCGGGGCTGAAGCTGGGAGCCAAGAATCCAATCCAGGTCTCCCTTGTGAGTAGTAAGGAACTTGTTGACTGAGGCTACCACAGTGGCATCCCAGGATCTATGTTAGCAGGAATCTGGAGCCAGGAGCTGAGCTGAACCCAGCATGGAATGCAACCAACCAACATCATAACTGCTAGACCAAAACCTATCCTGTGTTTTTCTCTTGTTTAATTATTTCTTTAACTGGGTACAGGACAATAGGCAGGGGGAACCACAAATTTCTGTCATTATAGAGAGACAGTGAACTCCAGGAAAGCTAACTGTGTTTTATATAATACATGAAGGAAGATGGAAATTGGAGTTTGCTTCCAGTGTTCATAATGATGGCTGTAATACTGAGCCTTCAGTGAAGAACAAAGTAGAAACTCTGTGTTTACTAACCTGGGGATCTTGGTTTTCCCCAGCTATCTAGGCATTCAACAGGTTTCACTTTTGTATGAGTGTAATTCCTTTTGAAAAGTAATTCTATAAGCCTAGTTTGAGAGGTTTTGAAGGTATTTGGATATTTTTTCTTTTTTTTCTTAAATGACTTAACACTATTGAAAAATAATGATATGTAAATATGATATCTACATATGTACACATACATGCACACACAACTTTATTCACTTCTTTGAAGTCCCTTTTCAATGCCATGATCTTAAGCCAATGCTGTATAATAAACCACTCTACACATTGCTGGATCTTAATGGATACTGAGCTGTAATTCACTCACAATCTTGTGCATCAGATTTGGACTGGAATTACTTGGCCAGTTTTATTGCCAGCAGTACCTGCCTTCCTCATGAATCTGCACTTGGCTGATGGGTTGACTATGAGCTGACTGGGCCTCCACTAAAACAATGCATTTCTGTTGTGTGTGTTTCCATCTTCTACCAGGATAGGCTGGAATCCCAATCTTCAGGTGGTTGTAGAAGCATTTCCAGGAGCTCTGAGAGGGAAAGCTGCAACATGGAAGGTTTCTCAAGTCTTTGCTTGGATCATATTTGCTAATTTAGTTTCATTGTCCAGAGAAAGTCATACAATCAAACTCAGTGTGGACAGGAGAAGGAGATTATGTCATTGCCAGACATTCCTAGAATAATCTAAGCATGGCCTTGGTGGAAAAAACAAACAAACAGCAAAACACTTGAGTAATAATTATGTTTTCAAAGAACTGAACAGTTGATATTATGCAGATTAATTTATTCCACAAATATTTAGGTGCAGTTTTGCAAGATAATATGAAAAGGAGATGAATGTGGGTGGAATGTAAATTCCCAATTAAAAGTAAGTCCTCAGGGTTCCTCAGAAAGAATTCAATTGTTATGCAAAACACTGATTAGAATTCTGAGATTTGCCATTCAGAATTGTGCTTTGTTAGGTAAGTAACAATCTTTTCAAGACACAACATGGAGATTAAAATTGCATGCTCTTTCTTTTCCTTAGAATTCTATATTATAATGCATATGAAAGAGTTCTTAGCATAAAGTACAAAAACCTAACCATCAACCACAGGAGGAAAATCTTTGATATACATGTCAACTAATTATTTTATAATACAAATATACATTGAGCCAGGTGTTAGATGTAAAATATTGTTACATTAAGCTAGAAAAGTAACTTCCTGAACACACAGAAGAGGCAAAAACTGAACTAGTAACAACACTGTGGTCAGCATTGAATGTCACAAGAGAAGAATGACAGGATCATATACGAATATGTTCCTGGTTTCATCAAATGTAAATTTATTCTTATCCTTCTGCACCTGTACAGCATCTTAAGATTCTAAAGGCTTTACTTTTATTCTCTGGGCTGAATTTTACTGTGCTGAACTTATCAGAAGAATTATTGTAGATTTCAACCATCAATTTTTCTATTATTAGTGACCCAAAGATGTGTTTCTCCAAAATGCCAGGGCTTTCATCCAGTAAAATATTTTCAATTTATTTTCTGAAGATTGGACTCTTAAAGTTATAGACATAGAGTTATATACAGAATTCTACCTTCTTAAATTGGGAAGCTGCCTGTCCTAGTCCATTGGGGTTGCCAGAGCAAAATCCCATAGACTGGATGGTTTACAGACAGCATGAACTAGTTGCTCACAGCTGAAGACTGGGATCAAGGTTAAGACACCAGCAGAGTTCCTGTCTGATGAGGGCCTGCTTCTTCCTGGACAGCAACCATCTCACATGGGTGAGAGGTTTGGCTGAGCTCTCTGGGGCCTGTTCTACAAGGCACCCAGCCCAATCACAAGCGCTCTGCCCACATGAACTAATCACTCTCAAAAGTCCTTATTTTTTCAAAAATAATTTTTTGAAAGGCAGAGAGAGAGAGAGGAGAGAGAGAGAGGAGAGAGAGAAGTAGAGAGAAATAGGGTGATCTTCCATCTGCTGGTTCACTCTCCAAATGGTCACAACTGCCTCAGGCTGGTCCAGACTGAAGCCACGAGTCCAGGACTCCATTTAGGTCTCCTGTGTGGGTGGGTGGCAGAGCCCAAGAACTTGGGCCATCTTCTGCTGCTTTCCCAGGCCCTTCAGCAGGGAGCTGAATTGGAAGTAGAGCAGCTGGGATTTGAACTGGAGCTCATATGGGATGACAGTGTTGCAGGCAGATGCTTAGCCCACTGCACCAGTGTGTGGGTCTCAGACCTCACTTTTAATGTGGTCACTTTCACAGACAGGATTCTAACATTTGGAGTTTGGAAGGTACAAATGTTCAAACTACAGTATAGCTATTCAATTACTTTAATTTTTCACTAATGCCATGCATGCTTATCATGTAATCCTCATCTTGGTCTTGAGTGATACTGTTTTGCAGGATTTCCACATATTAAATGCTCTAACTAAAGGGTGCAAGATCTCTCTCTCTCTTGCCTTCTCCATAACTCTGACTTTCAAATAAATTAACAAATCTTTAAAAAATCTAACTACATATATGCATTCTTTTCACTTGCATTCTTCAATGCACACTTTGAAATACTGTGATTTAGTACAGGAACTTACAATATTCCTTTGTGAGTATGTGTATCAAACCTCATACTGATCAGTGTTTTCCTTCACTTAAATAGGATCATCTAAATCTAACAAATGCCTGTCTGGACCAGCCTGATGCAGTTGTGACCACTTGGAGAGTGAACCAGCAGATGGAAGATCACCCTATTTCTCTCTACTTCTCTCTCTCTCTCCTCTCTCTCTCTCTCTGCCTTTAAATCTCTAAATCTAACAAATGCCTGTCTTGACTTGGCCAAAGCTTTTCAAGATGTAAGTACAAAGAAATTCTATCCTGCAAATGGGAAAAACAATAAGTGTTAACTCATCTAGCTCCATGGTAGGATTGTTTAAGAGAATAATTTTCTCTTAAATGACAACTGACTTAAAAATCAAAATTAGTCTTTGACATGTTTTCATACGTAAATTTATTGTGATTACCTATGAAACATCCATTTCTATAACTGATGTCATTTTAGCTACCTCTACCTTATTTATTGAATGCATTTCATAATAAGCCTTATGCATGTCATCCTGAAGGCTTGCAATCCTTGGGTCTCATTTTAGAAAAAAACCTAAGATGTACAATTTGGGACATGCTCAAGCTGACTTGCCCCAAATGGTAGAGTTAGAAACATACCAGGGGACTCCAATTTAAGCCCATCAAGGTGGCATGTACCAATGTCATCTCACTAGTTCAAGTGATCAATTTCAGTTCACAATTGATCATAATGAAAGGACTAAGAGTCAAAGGGAGCACATAAACAAGTCTAGTACCTGCTAACACTAACTGATAGAATAAATAAAGGGGAGAGTGATCCAACATGTGAAGCGAGATACTCAGCAGACTCATAGAATGGCGGATGTCCTAAACAGCACTCTGGCCCAGAATCAGCCCTAAAGGCATTTGGATCTGGCTGAAAAGCCCATGAGAGTATTTCAGGCATGGAAAGCCAAGACACTCTGGAAAAAAAAAAAAAACCCTAAATGAAAGATCTCTGTGAGTGAGATCCCAGTGGAAAGAACAGGTCTTCAAAAAAGGAGGTACCTTTCTCTGAAGGGAGGAGAGAACCTCCACTTTGAGTATGACCTTGTCTAAACAAGATAAGAGTCGGAGAACTCAAGGGGCTTCCATAGCCTTGGAAACTTGTGACTGGTGCATAGGGAGATTACTGATGCCATAAACAGGAGTGTCAATTTGTAAAGTCAACAACAGGAGTCACTGTGCACTTACTCCTCATGTAGGATCTCTGTCCTTAATGTGCTATACATTGAGACTTAATGCTATAACGAGTACTCAAATAGTATATTTCACTTAGTGTTTCTATGGGGGTGCAAACTGTTGAAATCTTTACTTAATGTATACTAAACTGATCTTCTGTTAAAAAAAAAAGAAAAAAAGAAAAAAGAAATTATCAATTCCCAACTTGACTCTCACTGGGATTAAACATGACAATAGGTCTGATCTGATTTCATCATCATTTAAAAAATCATCTATTATTTTTCACTTTATGTTTCTGTGTGGGAGCAAGCTGTTGAAATCTTTACTTAATGTATGCTAAACTGATCTTCTGTATATAAAGAGAATCAAAAATGTATCCTCATGTGAATGGAAAGGAGAGGGAGTGGGAAAGGGGAGGGTTGCGGGTGGGAGGGACGTTATGGGGGGGAAGCCATTGTAATCCATAAGCTGTACTTTGGAAATTTATATTCATTAAATAAAAGTTAAAAAAAAATAGTGGTTGTGAAATTTCTCAAAGAAGGCAGACTCTTAAATGGTGTCTTCTTCCATAATCCACCTGGTCAACCAGGAGGAAAACAAGAGGCTCGTATTGAAAACCAGCTCCACTAAAAATGCTAACCTTAGAGCAAAGATGAGGTTCAAGTCTTTTAATTCTAAAGCTGTGTTGTGGAGCAGTTATCACTGCAGTCACTCTCCACCTTCTAACTCAAAGCCTCCAGTTTATGACCTATCCTCCCACATCCCCAAGAGCCACGGCTAATAATCTTCAATTGGCAGGGCCACTTAGAATATTTTGAAGAGCCAGTCTGTCTAAAGATCCTCCTGTGCCAAGGTATTTTCAAGTCTGATGAGCTTATTCTGGCTTTTTTTTTTTTCATCCAGATAAGCTTGGAGAAGTCTCCTGACAGATATCTGGTATCTGACAGGGGGAAGAAAGAGAAAACAGCTGCATGGGAATTTAACAGGGAGTGGTAAAAAGGACATTTTTACAGAGTGAAGGCTGCCAAATGTAGAAGTAGTGGGAGATCCTGCCACTTCACAAAATCTTTTCCACAGTGCTAATCAAAGGTGCAATATTGTGGATTTTTAAAGCAGCTAAAATGAGTGGAATAAACATACTGAGAACTCAATACCTCTGCCAAGATAAATGGAAAATCCCCACCTTGTTGGATTATACTCCATTAGCAGTAATAAGAAGGATTATGTTTTGTTTGCTACTCGTAAATCATTCAGTGGCTCAATGCCAAGTATTTTCAACATAGCCATCCACTTTTTTTTGGATGAGTATAAAAAAGGAAATAATTTTGTACACCACATAAACAGTGGGTTTGTCTTTTGCACATTTTTAACAGAATTTTTCCCATTCTAGATTTATTTATGTAAATTACTATGAAAACACTTAGTTTAATCGATTTTGTTTCTGTGAGCCACCATATTGTCTGTTCAACTGTTCTGAGATGGCCTTTCTTACCAATGATTTTATAATAGTGCTTCTTTCTTTGGATCAGTATTTAACACTTACCTGGAGTAAAAGTCAGTTGCTTCTTTTGTGTAGGTTCCACATACACAAAAAGCTTATGGTAAGTAAAAAAATCATTTAAGAAATAGTAACATTAAAGACAGATCTGGCTGGCGCCATGGCTTAATAGGCTAATCCTCCACCTAGCGGTGCCAGAACACCGGGTTCTAGTCCCGATCGGGGCGCCAGATTCTGTCCCAGTTGCCCCTCTTCCAAGCCAGCTCTCTGCTGTGGCCTGGGAGGGCAGTGGAGGATGGCCCATGTGCTTGGGCCCTGCACCCCATGGGAGACCAGGAGTAGCACCTGGCTCCTGCCTTCGGATCAGCACGGTACGCTGGCCATGGTGGCCATTGGAGGGTGAACCAAAGGCAAAAGGAAGACCTTTCTCTTTGTCTCTCTCTCACTGTCCACTCTGCCTGTGAAAAAAAAAGACAGATCTATACAGTGACCAATATTTCAAACCTTCCATACACTGATTTTCAAAAATATTGCCTATATGAAGTAGAAGACTGAGAAGTAAGTAAGTGGTTCATAACCATAATATTCAAAGTTGAAATGACAAAGACAAAAACTCTGAAAAATAAGGTCATATCCTAACTACTGCCCTTGAGAATGGTCTTTTTTCTTTAAAAGTGCTATTCTTTCTCTGCATAGATAATAGAGAGGTAGATAGATAGATGATAGACACACAGCTATAAAGTTGAAGAAATATTTCTGAGCACACACACAGACCTACATATCTGTGTATATGTGTTCATATATATGTGTACATATACATAAAAATGAGTTTTAAACAATTGAAATTTGTTGTACTTTTTGCTATCATGAGCATTCATCAACTTAGTACAATGAAAGGACAACATCATCGAAGACAGCATTGTCTAAGAATTTTCCATACTTGGCTCCTGAATTTCTTCAATAAGCAGTTAAAACATTAATTTGCACTTAATCAACAAGTCAGCAGTTACATTCTGATGGCTATTGCGGATCACAGCCAAATGTCATGGTTTATGTGTGATGCTACGGAAGGAGATTTGGCTGTGAGAGGACACTTCCTGCACTTCTTTTCACACTAGCCTTGCATGCATTTTTTATTTCATGAGAAAATTCTAGAAAGTTTGAAAAGCCAGTGAAAGTTTTGTGTTGACATCTTTAATTTCAACAAGAGTTGTTCTAAAAGGTAATGAACTCAGGCCAAAGAGAACTATTTCTGGAGACTTTGTCTATAAAAGACTGTGCTATTTGATCTCCATATACCCATAACTTATGAAAAACTCAGAGATACATTCAATTTAAAGTAAATGTTATACTTTAAATCATTTTATCACTCCCAATTTTTATGCATAATATATACTTTTTAGTTTTTTGCTTTCTTCCAGTTATTGAAATTACTGACTATTTTGGGGAAAGGAATCAATGTGTACTCATACAATAGTAATGATAATCTTTGTGAATTCTTATAATGATTTTAGATATAAGGGAGTAGTCTCTAAATTAGTAAATGAATGATCAGTGAGAGCTCACATATATGCTGATAACAACCAGAACATATCAGTATTAATTCAATTAGATTCAACCATAATAAGTTGATAATGTCCTATGGTTCTTTACTCATAAATTTGGTGAGATTCACTGTTTTAACTGAATACATTTGATAGATATGCCTGAGATGGTGGGGAAAGCAGAAGTTGTTAATTATAATAATGTATATTGATAGTGATGTTTCTAATTGTTTTTAAACACCATTGAGAGATTAGGCAAGATGATAAGAGAAAAAAAAAGCTGTCATTCTAGTTGGTCTTGTTAGTTTGAAAAAGACAGAAATGTGAATTAATGCTATAACTAGTACTCAAACAGTACTTTATACTTTGTGTTTCTGTGTGGGTGCAAACTGTTGAAATCTTAACTTAATACATACTAAATTGATCTTCTGCATATAAAGATAATTGAAAATGAGTCTTGATGTGAATGGAATGGGAGAGGGAGTGGGAGATGGGAGGGATGCGGGTGGGAGGGAAGTTATGAGTGGAAAAAGCCATTGTAATCCATAAGCTGTACTTTGGAAATTTATATTTATTATGTTAAAGTTAAAAAAAGAAAAAGAAATAAAGTAATTACTTTGAATACAAAAAATTCATATCTTCAGTTAATACCAGCTAGGAATTTTATAACAAAGTAAAGGAAAAAAACAAGTAACTTAGTTTTGATATTTTCACTCAATTTGCTAAAGTCCCATATGATGTACTAAGTAAATGATATTTCACTTTGAATAACTAAAAGCAGTATGTATTTTTTCACCTTATATGGAAATTTGGTTATTCGAAGTAGTGTGTTTCCATTGTAATTAAATGTTAATGAAATAAGTAATTTTCATTGAACTTCATCAGGTAAGAAGAAATTATTAGCATTTATTACGGCTGTGACATTTCAAAAAGATCAAGTTAAAAGGAATGAAACTTCTAACAACTTTGCTCATCACATGAATTATTACTTTGGTTCACTTTTGGAAAG